CATCCCTTGTCGACTGGTCACACCCACCGTGTGCTCCTTGTTATGATCGGGCTAACAATTATGAAATTCGTTTTTACAGATTTTAAATTCATGAAAATTGTGGCATACGATGACTTTAAACTGGCATCAACATCCAGAAATTATGTGAAGATGGATATTGTTTTGACTTGTCAATGTTTTTCACGATATATCAAACTAATTACATGTAATATGGTGAAGAACTTGGTTTAGTGATAATAGCATTCTATATTATACTCTTTTTTCCAGAATATCGGAATATTTTACAAATTAAAAGGATCAATTAAATTTCGTTAATCTGTATCTTTTATATAAAATATGTTCTTTCTTGCATCTAGCATTGTCCAGCAAATAACAGAATCGATATGTTAACGTATTAAATGTAAAACACTGTCTTATCGCATTCAGGTGTAATACAGTCATATCTTTTTTATCAAAATATTCACACTGCATCCAAAAAAAAAAAAAAAAGAAAAAAAAATCATTTAGTTAACGTACTTAGTAATTCAAACATCATGTGGATATAACGTATTTTACTGCATAAAAAAAGCACTACAGACGTTAAAGAAATTCTACATTTCTCTTTAAGATGTTATCATATTTAAGGTTTTGAAAAAGGAATAACACCACAGTGCTATCCTAACAGGTCACGAGATATGGTTTTACGCGATGACCGTCTTAGCACATTTCATATTACTGAAAGATAAATTGCTTACTAAAAGTATTAATGTGTAAAACTTGTAATAAACGGTAGATGAGAGCATTACCCCAGAACCTGCCATTATGAAATCTGAACAATTTGACTTCAATACCAAAAAGGTGAAAACATGGTTCAACACAGGTGAATAGTGCTTCCATTTAATAAGAAACACGATTAAGTCGTACTTTAGATACCTTTACAAAGGGTATTTGATGAAACTGTTTGCAGCCAGGTCGATTTTTGAACACGCATCAAAGGTTTTCCCATAAATTAAGAGACTAAGTTGTTATGAAATCACTAACAGCTAAGTACAGAATTTAACCCCCAAACCTTTCTGTCTGGTAACCCGTCCGAGGTTACCACGTTACTCTGAAACCAGCAATGTTGCCAGCCTTTCTTATCTGTGGATTACAAAAATGACAAAAGATAAAAGCGAAACTCCCAGTTTTATTGTTCTCGTTGTTTTGTCAAAATACCATTTGAAACCTAATGACGCCATTAAGAACGATTTTCTCTCGCTTTTTCACCTTACGGCGCGTCCTTATCTCCGAACAAAAGAGATGCTCCGCCACCATTAAAATGGCCATATTTTCTACGTTTTGCATGACAAGAGCGTTTTGATAGGAAATTGATTTGTTCTTAAATTAATTTGGCAAGAAATTAATTCAGATCTGTTTTCGTAAAAAGAGATAAATTGGAAAATATATCATTGCTTCTCATAAAACTGGAATCATCCAACAATGATACGAGGTTGTGATTTACGGCCCCTCGCGACTCTGAAACACCTGACAGATTTTTATTGACCTTATCATCGCCATATATATAGTATCTCAGGTGAAAAAAAATAATAAAAAATATTGGAGGAGTCTCCAGAAATGATGTTATTAATTGTTGCTGTTACTTTGGGCAATCAAAAAACTCTGCAGCATATTCTGAGTTTTTTTTTTTTTTTTTTTTTTTTTTTTTAAGTTTTAAGCAATATGACATAGGGAAACATAGGGTGCATTTTAGGTCACCTTCGTCACTCAGACGACCTATTGCTATCTGTTTTCCTCCGTCTTTGTGCGTCGTCCATCATGTGACGTGCTTTTACATTTTCCAGCTACTTCCAACTTCTTCTCTGGAACCTCTCTACCAATTTTAACCATTTTGGTATATATCATATATTGCTGAAAAGGAACAAAAATTGTTGAATTCATGGTCCTGTTCCCCTAGAACCTGAGGGTTGTGGTTAAAACCATGAAAATTAAGGCAATCAATAATCTTCTTTACTCCTTGACATCAAGAAGTCCAACTTTTGGCCTGATTGTAATGAAAATTTGGCCCTCTACCATAATTGTAAAATTTATAGCCCCAGGGTCAGGGGTTCTGGAGTTTGGATGGGGCTCTATTGATCATATAATATGAAAATGTATAAATTCTTTAAAAAGCTTCTTCTCTTCCCATGTACATTTAGCAGACAAACTAATGTACATGCTTATCATAAGGTAGGATGCTTCTTCCAAATTGGGAATTCATGGCCCTGGTGGTGGGCGAGGCTTCATTGATCATTTAGTGAAAATGCTTTCTTTAAAATTCTTTTTCTTTGCTCCCATGTTTGCAAACAAACTAAGTGCATAGTTATGTTGAGCAAGATGCCTAAAATTGAGAATTTCATTCGCCATACCTTGGTTAGGGGTTGAGGTGTATGGGCGGAACTCTATTGAATATGTAGTAAAAATCATTATTTCTTTAAAAATCTTCTTGCTATTGGGTATTAAATAAACGGAGTGCATGGTTATGAATTTCATGGCCCAAGGATCAGGGGTTGAGGTGGTAGGCCGGGGCTCTATTAAATATATAGTGAAAATGCATACTTCTTCTCTGCCCCCTGGTATTTGATTAAAAACATACTAAGTGCATGATTATGACGAGCAAGGGCGTCTCTTCCGAAATTGTTAATTTCATGGCCCCTGGCGCAGGGCTGCATTGATCTTGAGGGAAAATAGTACTTCACTGAAAGATACCATTCTCCTTTGCTAATCGCCAATGATAAAACTGAAATTGTAGATCAATTAAATAAAAGAATTATACAAGATTTTTTTTTATGCATGATACATAAAATACAAAAATACATAGTTTTTAAAAGCCAGGTAGATAAATAAAAATGAGACAAAAATACCTCATCTTAGTACATTAAATATATAGTCTTCAAAGACCAAGGAAGGTCAGTATGAGAGAATGCAATGGTTATACTATATTTTCAATTGTCCGTTTATTATGGGCCGCAGCAGCGGCCGATCTATTTGTGGTTGCGTTAGAATGTGCACATGGGGAAATGAGACGCTATTTTTTTCTATTTCTTCGTTGGAATAATTCCTTATTGATAACAAACATAAAAATTACGAATAAAAGCCTTAAAAATTTGCTTATAACTAAGTCTAAATAGTTGTTATTATGTTTCAATTTGTTTCTCATTTCTCGTCAGATATTTATTATTTTAAGTTGTTTCATGAACTGCTCCCTAACATGGGCGTGCGTAAGATATGAAAAGAAAACGTATTGATTTTCCGGATATGTATTACAGTGCCTAAAATAATTAATAAATTGGAATAAGAACTGAATTTGGTTTTGAATTTACACTGCAGTTGCAAGTGACACAATGAATTTTTTTTCTGCACTTCACATACATATCTATCGCAACACTGTTCGGCATTATCACGTGACAAAAATCCAGGGTATCAGCACGTGAAGCCTGTGTCCATTTTCTCAGCATTCAGGCATTCATAATCAATTATTTTAGATATATGTTGCAATTGTCCTTGAATCAAATAATTTTGTGATAATACATTCCTATCCTTTATTGCCGTCCGATTTTCATATTAATGAATTTATTTTTATTTGCTTAAATATTTAACAATTGATCACTGAAAACTAGTGTAAAAAAATGCACAGAAAAGTAAAGCAAAGTGTAAAAATGTATCATATACTTTTTCTATTTGGATGTTTTTTCTTTGGACTCTTTCTTGTGGAAATTCTTCAAATTGAAATATATTTTTGCGGCCGATTTGATGCTTTGCATCAATTTAACTTATTTTCTTTAATTTTGTATGTGGATCCTTTACAGTGTTGTATTATACTCAGGTGACTGTTAAGGTTTTTGGGTCTCTTGTCTAAATACAAAAGATTCACGCTTTTTGTTTGACCCTTGTTTATAAAATGATTTCAAATACAATGGACTTTTTGTAGGCACTAAAGATGAAACGTCATAGAAAAAAATAAGAATTCTCAACAAGTGAATTTCCGTTATTTTTGACTTTATGGAATTTTTGAAAGAGAAATTTTGATGTTTTTTTCTTCAATTGTAATTATTGAACAAGGAATATTAATTAATCTGTTGTAATACACATGTATAGCGTGCGGAATCATAAACAGAAGAAAATGTTCAAAAAGCATTTAAAATTTAAAGGCCATAAATTCAAAACATTAAACTATATGATTCTGTATACATTATCAAGTTCTAAAAGGGTTATGTGGAAAGGTAGGGAAAAGAAAATATCAAATGACCGAGAAAAAGAATTCCTCGATCCTATCGCCTGAAGCCTATACATGTTCGATCAAGTAAATACATGTATCTAAATATTAAAGCTCATTCACAAAAAAATCCTTTCAAACAAAAAAAGAAGACATTTCTTTCATCACCAGAAATAGTCCGGCGACACCGTAATTTTCATTGTTCATCTATCCCTATTTACACAAATCAGTACGCGAATATTGTTAAAATAGTACCGATCGACAGAAAATAAGAAATATTGACCTATATTACATAAATTAAAAATTGATGTACTTTATCGGATTACATCTATTTTTATTTCAAATGCCATTGTTCATTTAAGAAAGTCTAGGGCCAGAAGGAGATATAAATAGAATAATTCCTAGGAAAAACATGTAAAATAAAAAGGGTCAAACCAATAGAGCTTAATTTTATTTGTTTGCTAGTTTAATATTTTGAAGAGCGGGGTATGAGTGAGAAATATACTGCTCTTAAATGACTCTGATTTATTTATCCCTACTCTCAATTTCTATGATGTGAAATTATGTAGCACATCTGTCCTAGTGCAGTTTTATATCAGATTAAAAGTCTTTTTTTTTTTTAACAAAGTCTATCAATACGTGGGAATGTTTAATCTATGGCCATGTCCTATTAAGAGCTTACTAATCACTTTATGTAAGGTTCAATAGCTTTGTCGTACGATCACTCTTTGCAGGATAATCATAATGACACCTATTTCCGTTTTTCCAGTTGACACGGAGTTCTTTGCAAAGATCTAAATCGCAAACTGGACAGAGAAAATAGATTCTAAAACGAAGGTATGTTTGATTCTTGACGACATACTTTTTCTACTATCAAGTAGTAGTGGCAATTGTTATTTCTAAAAAAAAATCAAGATTTTAAATAAAGTATATTACAGCAGTTGTGTGAAAAAAAAAACCCACATTAAAAAAGAAAGTTTATGAATCGGGAGAAAGATTAACTAATTTCTGAAGGTGGCATTTAATTAAAAAAGCAGAATTTATCTTTTAATGAAGGAAGTACTGCTAGTGATAAAGTGGTACAAAATGTTTGAACATGCATGTAATATCCTTATATTGATACTGGTACAAAATTAAAGCAGAGGAAATTCTAGCTAAGCACATTGCATGCTTAATGTAATCACCGTAATATGGGCGTCTTTACATTTATGTTGACAACTGAACTTTAGTTTTTTAAAATTTAAAATTTACAGGATATACATAAGATATAAGACAAGGAAAATATTGTATGGCAATAAAGAGGCTATTGAGCATGTAAAATGTGGCATTCTCTGAAACTACTTTATAAAATTATTAAGTTTAACGTTTCATTCTTGTCATTGGTCATTTGCAAAATTATTTTGTTAAAAAACACACAAGCACTCTGAAGTTGATATTAAAATGATGATTAAGTTTCTGATTGACAGTATCTATGTGGTTTTTGGAGACCAGGTCTTCCAACAATCTGTTGGAATTTCCATGGGTGCCAATTGCGTCCCGTTATTAGCAGACCTATTTTTGTATTCATATGAAGCAGAATTTATTCAAATCTTATGCATGAGAAAAAGAAAACTCTTGCTGTGGCCGTCAACTCGACAACTAGATATATCGACAACGTATTACCAATTAACAATAGTCATTTCCACTCATATGCCGACACGATATATCCCAGTGAGCTTGAAATAAAAGATACCACATCTGTTTCATATTTGGCTATTTTACTACAGAAAGACGTTATTGGTAATCTAACAACAATGTTTAATGATAAACATAATGACTATCCTTACTTATTCAGCAATATACCCTTATCACCTGCGTATGGGGTTTATATCTCTGAGTTGATTCGATACGCAAGAGCATTCTCTACGTATGAACAATTTCTAAAACGAAGTAAGTTATTGAAAAACAAGTTGATGAAACATAAATATCAACAGTCTCGTTTAAAGTCATCATTTCGTAAGTTCTATGGTCGATACAATGACCTTGTCAGCAAATACAATCTATCATTAAGTCATTTCCTGACTGACGTTTTTCCTACTAATTGTTAGGGCCATTAACACTGAATTGTCGGCAGATTTTTCCGCTATTTCCCGATCATGACAAGAAGCACACGGCGGGTGTGACCGGTCGGCAGGGGATGCTCACTCCTCTATGGCACCTGATCCCACCTCTGATGTTTTAGAGATCCGTGTTTGCTCTGCTCCTGATTTGTATTATCTGAATGGACATTTTAGCTTGAATACTGTTCGTTATCTCCATTTATTTCATCTGAATCTTTTTCTTCTCTTGCATACACATTTTTATGCTGAATATATATTTCTATATATATCTTTTAATATGTTAGCTTTTATTTTACATGTAAACATTTTGGCAAAAAATTATGTATTTACTTCGTTAATACATAAAATTTATACAACAGCTATAATATGGTGATGTAACTGTAACACTTGAGTGAACCTTTCTTAATTAAAAATGTTTGCAAATTATCATAAATCGAGAGTATTACGTAATTTACTCCACAACAGGAAAAATGATTAAAATCGCCATTCATTTATATTTCTTCTCTCAAGAAAACCATAAAATTTGTAAAGAGGTACAAATTACTAGTTTATATATTTAATATTTACAATGAAAATAGTGAAGATAACGAACAGTGATCGATCTTCAAAATAGATAAATAAATAAAAATAAATAAAAAAAACAAACAAATAATACAAATCTGTCAACTGGGTGAGTATAAAACACGGACCCCCAGATACTCCAGAAATGGGAATAACAAAGATTACTATTTAGATGGAGGAGAACAGAGGATGTAATAAAGATTGGTAATTTCATATGAATTCAGGATCAGTATTTGTCATCAAATTACAGAATTTTATAACATTTGGAAGTACATAATATTTTTGTAGCAAAAAAAAAAAAAAAATATTAATAATAATAATTCCGAATATATTACATTGCATTTCACTCTAAGTAGTGAAATTCATCTCCAGTTTGATTATTGATGCATAAATAACATGTACGCTTTCATTTCTTTCAATTTTATTCTATCTACCAACTATCAGTTTTATTTCTTCACTGTCAAACTTTGTCTTAAAAACTCTGTTTATTATACCCTTACTGGAATTATTTATATCACTATATCATTTTGTATAAACTAATCTTTGAGTTTTAATTTTATTGAAAATTCATTTAATGCGTGTTGTTAATCACAAACAGAATAACAATATCATCTTCATGAAATAAAATAAACATAAAAATGCAGAGTTCATCTTCACCAAAAATGGTCGTTTGTTTGAACAAATGACACACTAATTAAACATTTAATTAATAGCAAAAGGTGTTATAGGTGGAATAATTTTTATGCTATTATTAATAATTATTATATCTTAATCTAACCATATCCAGATTTTTTTTGACAAAAATGAATATTTCTCCTTCCCAATTGTTAGTTCTAGAGTTATGACTGGAACACTATTTTACTGTCTTATTATCAAATGACCTTGACTTTTGAGGTATTACTGATACATATACACCTTAAGGTCATGAGCACTAAAATACTCAAATATGAAACTATTCCTATGAATCTGTGGTAGACAGACAGACTGACCTGCCACACCAGTTTGTTTCTTCCCCTTTGGGAGACATTTCATGACAAATTGATTCTAAATTGTTCGTGTTTTTAATGTCTTAAAAAATATTGCTCCATTAAAGTACATATTTTAAATGAGATGTGTGGTACAAATGATATGAAAACAGGTTTAAATTTTGATAAAGAATTTGTCCCAGGCCAGTTGATTCAGCCAACCTTCTGTGTGTAAATTGTCACTTCATGATCTAGTGTTGTCATAAGTGTATTACACTGTAGCATAAACAATTCTTAACAAACCATAACATTGGATTGTATTTCTGAAACTGACCAAGAATCTTTATCTCACCTGTACCAATAATAGACCGAGTCCAAAAGGTTATGCTGGACAGAGGAATATCTATAGGTACACTGGGGGGCTTCGGATTCATTGTTGCATAAATGTTGACCACGTGGGTGTACACAATCAGAGTATTAAAACTTGTTTGTAAACTGAATCTGTGGAGTGTAAAAACCATCAAAAAGTAAGTTAATTGTATTATCCGTTTGTTTCTACTCATGTTTTGTAACTGTATTTGATTTCTATAGTTTCTTGGATATGTACATCATCTGGTCATGTTTTTAGATTTTGATATCAAAACGTTAGATATAGTTTTAAATATCTGTCCAAAAAAGTTCAACGCCCACGTCACATAGAAGGTAGCTATATCTTTTTACTATAGGAAAAAAACTTGTTGATTTCATAAGAAAGAAAAAAATTTCAAGATGCTCAAGATAAATGAATAAATAAAATTTAAAAATTAAATAATTAAATATGAAATTTGCTAGCGTGCGTAACCAGCTTCTGCAATAAGTATAACACACGTTATAATGTAAGTTTCTCTTTTCAATGTTTCGTAGATAATTGTAAAAGTTTGGTAATATTAATACCCACGGTCCAGCTGGCTTCAAGGTAAAACGGTGTTAGACTTCAAAATATTTAACTGTGAACAAATAGGCCTCTAACAGGATGAAGGGGAATATTTTTACTTTATTTCGATTAAATACATGTCCACAAATATGGATTTAAAATATCATTCTTTTGTGTTTGCAAAGACTCTCACAGCTGGATAACATACTTTTAGCAAAAATGGATCATATGCTTAGGTTCCTTAGTAAAATGATTCATTTATGTAAAGCCTGATAAAAATGTTAAATGTGGTCCATCAAAGTTACCTATGAATATGCTTGAAAGCTTATTATCGAAAGAATGAGGCACAGACTGCATAATTACGTGTTAACATTGATCCAAATTAAAATTTAAAAACAAACAAGTAAACTAGAAATTATATATATATATATATATATATATATATATATATAAAGCACAATGAAATTTCTTTGTGCTTTCTTCACTTAAGGCAGTTATGTTAGTTTAAGAGTTGTTGTAAAATGTGCATAATTATATATTCATTCATATTTTTATCAAAAGTCTCTTTTTTTTGGTCGTAGATTAAAATCTAATATATATGTAACTTTGTCATTGTCTCAAATAACGTTAAGAATAATTTAATCTACTTCAGTTGAAGTCAATCACTGTAGATTTGATTCTATCTTGCATCATAAGGCAGATCAAAACAACCAGGAAATTAAAACCCTTCAGTTTGCAGTTTTTAGAACTTCTATATGACTTTGTCCAGTGACTTCTCTTTAATGGTTTTGCTAGAGTAATGTTTGGTTTTTTTCTTTTTTTTTTATTACTTATTTTGTCCTTTATTTGATTTATATATACTAGTCAATTTGCATAAGCAAGATAAACTACACACAGTATTGAAGTATTATGTCATCCTTTTGTGCAGCTTTAAAGTTCTTGACTGTCATAAACCCCTTGGCTTTAAAATAAGTACCATGCATGGACCAACATCATGGCACATTATATATATATATATATATATATATATATATATATATATATATATATATTCTCTTTCATATCAATTCTTTGTGAGTGGCAAGGACTGAATTCTTTTGGAATTTCAAGAGCTGTATCCGTTAACTTTTATACCAATTTGTTTTCACTGGAGATATTTCATTCTTTATACGTGTATATTATTCGCCAGTGGGTAAATATTTAATATTTAGAGGAGGAATTATTTAGCATGAAATCATAAAGCCACCATTATTGGATTAAAATAATATTTTTAATTCCATAAGTTATCGTGTTCTGAAT